TTGCTTAGTTGTGGATTTCAAGCAGATACCATCTTAACCAAGCTGTCAGTATAGAGACAATAAAAGTCCTAAGCCACCTACCTGACAGAGTGAAATAACAAAATCATGATAGTGTTGTTGGTTCTTTTGTTTTAAGATTTATTTATTTTGAGTACCTGGTGTTTTGCCTGCATGTGTGTATGTGCACCATGTGTGTGTCTGGTGCCTATAGTGGCCAGAAGAGGGCACTGGATCCCCTGAAACTGAAGTTACAGATGGTTGTGAGCCACCATATAGGTGCTGGCAACTGAACCTGGGTCCTCTGTAAGAACAATACAAGCTCATAACTGCTAAACCCTCTTTCCAGCCCGTGTGGTTGGTTTTAATGGCAACCTTCCACAGATTAGAGTCAGAAAGCCTCAGATGACAGGCCATTCTATTGCCTTAGTCAATGCAGGAAGACTCGCCTCTCTACTTCAGGGGCATCTTTCTGGTCCAGATGAAAAGAGCATGGGAGAGGGAAACTATTAGCCCTTTGCTCCCTTTCCCTCTTGCTGCAGGGTTCATTTGACCCCGCCCCTCCTTCACTGATATCACAGCCAGTGTTTCCAGGCTTCCATGTTGATTAAGGACCGGTGGCTCTCCAAGAGCCTTTCAGGCTTTTGGTGCCAGTTTGGGACTCTAAGGCACTTAGCTGTGTGGAGTGAGCAACTGCTGTGCTGTTGGCCTCCCCAGTGAGGGACAACCAAGGTGGAACCAATCCACTGCTGAAGCATCCAGACTCAAGGACTGAGCCACTGCTGGTATCTTAGCCTCTCAGTTATGATTCAGCCATTACTGCAATTTTAGTGTAACTGACTTAATAAATTCTGTAATATATACTAATAAATATTCACCCCATTGTTCCTGTTTCTCTAGAGAACCCTGGCTTATACATAACACACTCTGATGATGTCCTTGAGGATATATGAGGTTTTATTACTTTTTATATGCATCTTCAGACAGTGGAAGAATGGTATATTTATTTCTTTTAGTTGTCTTGAATTGTTTGCTTTATATATTTTGAGGCTCTTATTGGTTGTGTGCAAATTTAGAATTGTATCTGCTTGATAAATCATTTTTCCCTACTCCTTATCTTTAGCATGGCTTTTGTCTCTCCTGCTGTCTGGAGTCTGCCTGATAAAATGTTTGCTTGCCACATGCTCTCCTTGTTTCTTTATCCGTATGTTTGTCATGCCTCCACTATAAACATCACATGTTGTTGTTGTTGTTAATCTAATATGATAGTGTTTATCTATTGCAGCATTTAGTCTGTTTACGTGTAATGCAACTGCTTATGTATTTGACTTGGACTTCCCACATCTTGCTGCTTGTTTCTATTTGTCCCACCTAGTCTCTACTATTTTTCTCTCTCTTTCTTGTCTTGTCTCAACACCCTGGACTAACACGGCTAGCAGAAAGAAAGTGCTTTTCAAAAGTGAAGTGATGCAGGAGAACGAGAACCAGAGTTCAGATCCCCAGCACACATGTAAAAATGTGTATGGTTACAAATGTCTGCAACCTGAGCGTTGGGTGGGACAGTAAGGACAGGTGGATCCCCAGAGCTGGCAGGCCAGCCAGTCTAGCCAATTGGTGAGTGCTGGCTCATTGAGCAGCCCTGTCTCAAACAATAGGATGGAGAAAAGGATCTCTGACCTCTACATGCTCATCCTCATGTGAACACACACACAGATATTCGCTCACATACACTACACACATGTATGCATAAATACAAATGAAAAGTGAAGATGAAATACAGACCTTTCATACAAATAAAAACCAAACTAATTTATCACCAGCACACCGACACCATTAGCGAAGGGGGATTTCTGGGCTAAGAAAAGGTTTCAGATGGAAATACACAGATAAGGTGGAAACAAAGGCCAGAAAAGAAAATATTGGTTAATTTTAACAAATTTGTCTGGACAAAACAATAGTAACAATGCCATGTGGAGTTTGGAATATAGAAACAAGTCCAGTACCAGACAGTACCAGATGACACCATCACTTGAATTGGGAGGGATAGATGGGTTTCAGTGGCCTCCTGCACCAGTGATAAGGATGTCAGTAATCATTTGCCTTAGACTTGCTGCGATGTGCTGGTTTTAGGACAGCTACTAAAGGGAAGGGAAACTAACAAATTAATAAAACAGTGACATGATCCATATATATACCAAACTAACCCATAATGAAGTTTTAAAAGGATGTATATGTATGTATAATAATTTTGACTTGTAAAACATGAAACGTAAGTATCAAAGGTAATAAAAAACTGCCATTGAATGTTGCTTCAATCCTTGGGCTTGGAGAGTGGTCAGTGACTAAAACACCTGTTGTGTTAGTGTGACAACATTGCTGTGAGCCACAGAACACGTAGATGCCAGGTGGGCCAGAAGCCAGCCTTCCCCCCCACCATGATCTGTGGATGTTTTTAATTATCTTCTTAATGTTGATAACTTATAAACTATCTCCTTTATTTTAATCTTTCCATCTAATAAGTTGGCAAAGAGTGCCACTACCAATCACACATATACAGAAGTTCCAGTTTTGTATGTTTCTGAATGGGCTTTTAAGGACAATTCTGAATTACAACTTAGTCTTAGATCTTAATAATTAAAAAGTGAGGTCTAAGTTGCTGGTTTCTAAAAGCATTTTAACTTACTAGATCAACTATAAAGAAGAGCTAAATACTCTTTATTTGATATTATACATAGACCACAGTAAGTGCCTTTCAGTGGTAAAAGGCAGCATCCTTTGATGTAGGTAATTCTAACTAAAATGACATCATCAAGTCAAGTTACTTCCTGATGTTTAGCCGTTGCCTGTAACAAACCAGTGAAACATACTGAAACACAGGTGAGTCTTCTCATGTCTGAGACAGTAACAGAATTTTCCCAGTGTTTAAACATACTCTTATGCCTGGTTATATAAATTTAAGTATAAAACCATTCAATAGGTTTGAGGTGACACCCCCATCTTTGTGGAAAGTAGAACTTTAATAATTAAGTCCAATCCTATCTTGAGAAAGGGAGAGAAGTGATATTATTTATGCAACTGGAATTGTTATTTTAAAAAAGATCATATCTACTTTACTACAAGCCAGTTTTACTTAAATCAGGACAGTCCAACAAAAACATTGTTAGCCATTCATGATCTGAATTTTGGTGTGTGAATTAAATTATGGTACACATTAAAAGTCATGAGACATTTGTTTTGGAATAAATAAGGCAGCAGAATTACTCACTAGTAGCCTTTTTTAAGATAAGCTATTAGGCTCACCCTCTCTCCCTTCTCAATTCCAGCAAAGATCATTTTTGTTCTGGGGATATACTTTTTGGGATTTTCCAAATACTCCATCAAGAGCTCCTCTCCCCAGGTGATGCCTTTGTTCTTGTTGGCATCTGTGTATGAGACTCCAGCAGCCTGGCCTGTCTTCCTCCCTAACAGACCATGGAGATGTGGTCCAGTCTTATGCTTGCCTCCCTTTTCCATGGTGTGGCACTGATCACACTTCTCAACAAAAATCTTCTTGCCTTTCTCAACATCGCCCATTTTTTATTCACTCTCAGGTGGTCTGCACCACAACCCCAGGCAGCCAGCCTTTAATCCCAGGGTCTGAAGGTGGATCCAGGGGCTGCTAAGGCAAACTAGCCATATGGCCAAGCTCTGGGTTTAGCTGAGAGACCCTGCCTCAGTGACTAGGGGGGGAATGATTAGTGATGGTAGACTCCCCATGTCAGCCTCAGGTCCCCACATGCATACCTACAACTGTGCACTCCCACATACGGGAGCACACACACACACACACACACACACCTGCATACATAACACATACCCAAACACATACAAAGTTTCTCCGTGTTGCTCTGGCTGTCCTGGAGCTCACTCTGTAGACCAAGCTGGGATTAAAGGTGTGTGCACCACCACCCAGTCCACATACAAATTTTTAAAGTTTACTTAACTTAGGCAGTAAGCATACAACATTCTCTTCAACACTGACAGACTTTAATATGCCAAATATTCTTTAGTCTCTACTCCTTGGTTAGTAAAGACAAATTTAAAAAGCAAAACAAATTTCAGAATAAGGCATGCATAATATAGTTTCGTTTGTATATAATACACACACACACATACACACACACACACACACACACACACACCATTTTAAGTAGAAAACGCTCTGAAGACTATTTGACAAAGTGCAATCCATGTTTAACTTATCAGGTTAAGAGGTGATAATTCTGAAAAACAAAAACCAAAACCACTGTCTGTTTTTGTCTCATATAGAATCCATGTCATTGACATATTTTCATTAGATATGTATTATTTAATAATTGCCAATCACCAATAGACCAATGATGTTTTCATCTTGAAGAAGTAAATTAAAAATGCATCATGGGCTGGGCATTGGTGGTGACACCTTTAATCCCAGCACTCAGGAGGCAGAGGCAGGCCGATCTCTGTGAGTTCAAGGCCAGCCTGGTCTACAGAGCAAATGCCAGGACAGGCTCCAAAGCTACACAGAGAAACTCTGTCTCGAAAAGCAAAACAAACAAACAAACAAAAAAAACAACAACAAAAAAGCATCATGGAAGTCTGTGTATAACAGAATGTCCTTAGCTGGGCCTGGTGGCACAGGCTTGTAACCCCAGCTACTCAGATGACTGAAGCAGGAGGATGAGTTCAAGGCCTGCCTGTGCTACAGAGTGAGTTTAAGTCTAGCCTCAGCAACTTAATGAAACCTTGTCTCAAAAAAATTTAAAGAAAAACAAAAAGTAAAGTAAAAAGAGGCTGGTGATGTAGCCAAACCGTACTTCAATCATCTGTACCAAACATAAAAGGTATCCTAGGCTGAATGGAACTTTCCACTTCCTGTTGTGCTGGCCTACCTCTCCCACACGGTGGCACTGCTAGGCTGCTGGCTGCTTCCAGCCCCTGGACCTTGGAGGGAAGGGGCGGAGTGTCTTGGTGAGCAGATTGATTTCTTCAGCATCCTGCCTCACTAGGTGGCATCTGGAGCATAGACTTTCAATAAGTCAGCTGTCCTTGTGGGTGGCTCAAATGGCCTCTCGTCTCCCAGTGACAAGCCTGATTCCTGTATCGTGCCCATATGGCCCTTAGGGTCCCTTCTAGAGGTACTGAATTCTAGGTCCTGGAAGAGCCCTCGCCGTAGTGACCCATCCCACCTGTCCTGTCAGAGAAGAGGTCTGTGGTGAGGCAGTTGGTCCCAGCTCCCTCTGCATGAGGACTTCGTGCTTTGACCTCAGTCTCTGAGCAAGTGAGTAATATCCTCAAGAACTTCCACAGCTCCCCACCACCCTCAGGAGGTCATGTGGCTAAGCTGGCTTCGGGGACTCTGTCCCACCCCTTGCCCTCTCTGGCAATTGTCTTCTCTCAACATCCCATCCTCTATCTCCCTGGAGCCTCTCCTCCCTTCTACCTGTCAGGGTTTTTCTCTTTGGGTTTCTGCGTGCTGCTCCCATTCTTGCAAATGCTCTTCCACTCCCTGTAGCTTAAATATTGCATCCTTCTGGAATTCTCCCCAGCCCCCTCCCTCCCAACATTGCACTTGATTTTGGCCATGAGAACTCAGGGCCTGTCTGTCTGGATCATCACCTTTCCCCTGTGCCAGGACCTGGGGCACCAGCAGGCACTCACATGTCTCTGCATTGTATGAAGGCTGGAGAGCAGTCACTGCCTGGTGCAGGGAGTGTGGGGTAGGGGCGCTTCTTTCAGAGGAGCATGATAAAGGCACTGCCAGGGACCCTGGTGAGCTGGGGTGGAGATGGTAGGCTGGAATAAAAAACAATTGCCCAGCCTGGGCCTCCCGGGGCCCTGCTGCCTGTGGACACAAACCATGGTACCTGGCATACAGCGCCACTTTGGATGGGTGCCCCAAAGCCTGGCCTTTTCCAGATCCCAGTATGATGGACAGCTTCCTGATTTCATATCTCTTCTCTACCTGTCTTCTCTAGGGTGGACCCTCACCCACTGTAGCCCAGGGTGGACCTTCACCTATCCATCATCAAGGGCTTGGCTGACTCCTAGGAGCCTGTGAGGATAACTTCATTCCCTTTTCAGTTCCTCAAACTAGCAGAGACAGCTGTTCTTCCTGCCCTGTGTCCATGCTGCTCCCTCAGCCTGGGCACCTCCTGTTTCCTAGGGGATGTGTGTGAACTCCTTCAGTTTCTGCTTATGTTTCCTTTCTTCCAGGAAGCCACCCCTGGTTTGGTGTCACTCTTTGGGGTTCCCACAATCAGCTGAACCTCTTTGTCTCTACCCAGCTGCCACCATGTAGCCTTCACTGGTAACCTACCTTTTTGTTGTAATAGTCAGGATTTGTTCTTTACTCTGTGGCCTCTTGCCACCCCCTCTCCCTGAGTTCACCATCCTTACTGAATCCCCAGACTTTGAGGGTCCCCTGGCTCCTGAGCCGTTTCCTGCCTCATGCCGGCTCCCCTCCTTGGGCAATTTTTCCTCACTCCCACACTTTCAGGCAGATTTTTCCATCTGCTCTGTCTCCTGGTGCTGCCGCCAGACATACACCTTTCAATCCCATCTGCCCCTGAAAGGCATGAACCTGTCCCCAAACCTCAGGCTCATCTTACACTGGCTGCCAGCCTCTCTACTGTATCCCAACTCTCAGAGTGCAAAGCAAGCTTGTAGCTCAGCTACTCCAGTGTCCTTCACCCATAGACCACACCCTCCACCCTGGGAACCAGGAACCTTGTGCCCATTTCCCTTCCTCTTATCCCACAGCCAATCCATTAGGGAAAGCCAGTGACTGCTGGCAGAACGTACCAGAGTCCCATGGCTTCTTGTGGATGAACAGATTAAGATACATGGGACTAGGATAATATAGGTTAATTTTATTCGGGGAGAAGTCACTCACACAAGAAACCGATAACCCCAAGTTCCAGATCTGAGGACCACGCTCAGCTGCTCTCTGTGACCCGACAGGAACCAAGAGAGCTTGTGCCCTCTCTCCCAGCCCTTTATTCCACAGGCCTTCTATGGACCTGTGACACTGGTACAGCAATCTAGGGCCTCTCCCTACACCTTCTCACATCCCTTAGGGACTACCTGGTCTTAGATTTCTTGTTAGGTCAAGTTCAGTTCCCTCATCACAGTCTCCCTACATCAGCTTTGTCCCCATGAAGTCTATTCCCAATGGGGAACCCAAAATGTAAGTTGACTTACTCTCTTCAAGACTTTCTCTGGGCCACCTCCCCACCAGAATGCGCAAGAGCCCCTCCTGGACTCCTAGGTCCTCAGAAGCTGACCTGGGCCTCTACTGTTTCATCAATAACCTTAGGGCCTTTGACATGGCTATCCTCTTGGCTTCTGACTGTCTTCCTCATGACTACACAGCACTCCCTGCTCTTCCACTGAGATCTCTGTTCAATGAGGTCTCCCTGGGTTAATTTCTCCAAAGCCACTCCCCAGCACTTTCCATCTCCTCCCTGGCTCACTCATCACTTCTGACACATCACCCTTGTCTATGTGTTCATTATCTGTCTCCCCTACCAGACTCTAAGTCTGGGAGGGCAGGGATTTTCTTTTCTCTTATGTTGGAGTCTCAGTGCCTAGAACAATATTGTATATGCGGTAGACTCTCAATAAACAGTTGCCAAGTTAATGGATAACCAAGTCCGTCTTTACCAGACGGTGAAGACCCAGACAACAGGGACATGACTGTGCTCACCTTCATAGCATGAGATTCAAGTTGTAAGAAATGCTCAGTGAATGCATTGATGAAATGCTCAGTGAATGCATTGATGAAAGGTTGGATAAATGGGCCAGAACAATGACTTGTCCCCAAGGGCTTAGGCAGGTGTTTGGCCTGAGTCTGCAGGAGTAGGCAGGTCTATCCACCCTGGAGTTGCCTGCTTCCTGAACCATTCAGGATCACCTGAGATAGAGGTCCCAAATTCTGTCTGGTCTGGTAGGATTTCCCCCCTGTGCCCAGGTCCTAGAGAATTGCTTTCCCTCTTCCCAGAAAAGCAGGGAAGTCCAGGGTGCCATGTTGATTCACATGAAGCTCCCAGGCCCCTTAGCAGAGCAACTCTGCTTCTGAGGTTCCCAAGCAGAAAGCCTAGTGCTGGGATGTGGAGAGGGGTGTGGGTCTCCACAGCACTGTGTGTCATCATGCCAAACATGGACTAGCCAGGTATGTGACAGCAGAGAGAGGTAAAGATCAAAAAGGAAGATGCAGTTGCTAACCCTCATCACAGAGACGTGGAGGACTGGCCATAGCCATGAGAATGATGGAGCCCTGGATGGGAGGATGCCTGTGAGTCTACAGCTGTGTGCACTGGAAATGTGCTGGGATCACACTTAGCCACCCCCTCATTGTGATTACCTGAGAGTTTGATGGTACATACCTTTTATCTCAAAACCTCAAAGGCAGAGGCAAGTGGATCTCTGTGAGTTCAAGGCCAGCCTGGTCCACACAATAAATTCCAGGACAGCTAGGACTACACAGAGAAACCCTGTCTCAAGCAAAAACAAAACAAAAAGCTCTGTTGTTGATTCTTCGTCTATCTATTGACCCAATAAGTTCACAACCATATACAGACACCTTTTTTAAGTTTCCATCTTTAGCCCTCACTATGGAACTCACTGTGTAGCTCAGCCTGTCCCCCAAACTCAGCAATGCTCCTGCCTCAGCTTTTCTAGTTCTGAGATAACAGTCATGAGCTATTATTATGTTTTGAAAAGTTGTTCCTGTGATATGTCAGTGCTTCCCAGCTTCATGGTGAGCAATGGTTTGATCTGCAGGAGGGTACGAAGAGAACAAGTTGAATAGATGGTTAGCTGATTCACGGCAGTGAACACCCTCCAATCCCATCAACCTGAGAGCCTGGCTCTGGCATTCTTTTCCACCCAAGGCTAAGACAGTTTCCCAGCATCCCACACACAGACACAGGTCAGTAAACTACAACCAATATAGTCCTTAAAGCTTCAAGCAGTTGAAGAGAAAAACCAAGAAAATAATATTTCATGGCATAAGAAAATGATAAGAGCCAGGCAGTGGTGCTGTACTACTTTAATCCCAGCACTCAGGATGCAGAGGCAGGAGGATTCTCTGAGTTTGAGGCCAGTATGGTCTACAGAGTGAGTTCCAGGACAGCCAGGGCTACACAGAAAAACCCTGCCGAGAGAGATGGGTGGGAATGACAAGAAACTACTTTCAGTCTCTCTCTCTCTCTCTCTCTCTCTCTCTCTCTCTCTCTCTGTGTGTGTGTGTGTGTGTGTGTGTGTGTGTGTGTGTGTGTGTGTTTGCACGTCTGTGTGAAGGTGCCTATGCCTTGCATACAGGCACAGAAACGAGAAGAGGATATTGTGTCTTCCTTTTCCTTTGAGGCAGGGTCTCTCCCTGAAACCAGGTTCAGCTAAGCTGGAAACCTGCAAGCTCCAGCAACTCTCCTCCTTCCACCCTCCTCAGGGCTGGGGTTATAGGCATCTGTGGGGATGTCCTGTTTGTTTCATGGATGCTGGGATCTGAACTCTGCTCCCCATGATTTCAGATCAAATGCTTTTAACTGCTGAGCCATCTCTCTAGCTCCAAGAGTGATGTTTTATTGGTCTACAGTCACACCCACTCATTTGGGAGTTGCCCATAGCTGCTTCTCAATTACAATGGCAGAACTGAGTAGACCCACAAAGCCTGTAATATTTATTGTGTGGCTCCTCTGGCATACAACTTGCCTGCCCTGTGATGGATGAGCTGTGTGGTCTGACACCCTGGACTTGGTTCTTATGTGTCCAACCCTCCAAAGGCCCACAGTAAAAGAGCATCTGAAGCTTCTGATGCTTTGGGAGTCCCTCTCCCATGGTTGGAGATTTCCATGGCTAGCACTCTGGCTTACTCATTCCCAAGTCTCCAGCCTTTGGCACCGTCCTCGGGCATCATTTGCTGAGTCACACAGACTTCTGTTGTTGCCCATCTGTAAACAGTTCAGGTTCTTGTGGTTTTTCCTGACTTGCCTGAACACTAGCCAAGAGGCCTGGTGTGGGGAGGTCAGGTGGACTGCACAGATATGAGTTCAGGTCAGGAAATCTGGTAATTCAGGGGCTTCCCCAGGCACTCTTACTCTGCCCAGCCAGGCAGGTGATAGCCAAGACCAGCTGGGCAGCAGTAGTGGGGATAGGCATGGTGTGACTGCCCAGCATTGCCTGGGAGAGAGGGAGGTTCTTGTTCCAGGGGACAATCCAGCAGAGTGTGGGCAGGGTATCACAGACACTGCTGTTTTGTAGGAACATGTCCTAGATGGGGTCTCCAGTGGCTGCTAACCTGGGTACACCTACGGCTCTCTTGGGTGGTGACCAAGGCCAAGCCCTCTGGATGCTTGATGGAAGAGGAAAAGGAGCACCCATGGGTACATGCTTGCATGCTATCCCTGGACTAACTTAACAACTGGCCCACTGTATGACTGTCACTGATTATGCCAGGGCTTTCAAGGACACAAGTCGAGCCAGATCCAGGGACCTCAAGGCGGGGCCTCCTGATTCACTGTGATTGTGGGAACTTTGAGGACCCCAGACCACTGTTCTGATTCCCGTACCCTGGAAAATCCTCTAAAACCCTAAACTCCAGTCATTCTTTTCTAGTTGGCTTTTTTTTTTTTTTTTGAAAGACTAGGTTTGTCTAATGAGCATTCACAGGGCTCTGTGGCTATAGATGGCCCTGAGGTCAGCTGTTTGGAAAGGACAGTGACTCATCCTCCTTGGCAACACCCTGAATGACTGATTTCTTTCTTTGAGGAAAATTTGTTTTGCGTGCATGCGTGCGTGCGTGCGTGCGTGTGTGTGTGTGTGTGTGTGTGTGTGTGTGTGTGTGGTGTGTGTGCACATATGTATACATGTAGACATAAGGAAGCCTTCCGTCATCACTTTCTCCACCTTTTCCCGATGAGACAGAGTTTCTTACTAACCCTGGAACTTGCAGTTTTACCCTTGGGTGAGCTAGCTAGTACCAAGGATCCTCTGTCATAGTCCCTAGGCCCTGGGATTACAGGCTGGCCACCATGCCTACCAGGTTTTTCAGTTAAGTTCTAGGGAGCCAAACTACTGTCCTCATGCTCGCATGACAAGAACTTTATCAGCTGAGCCATCTCTCCTTGGATGGTACTCCAGTCACTTCCTCGATGGAAGTAGTGACTTGCCTCCTCTTTCCCTGATCCCTGGCTTCTTGAGACAATGTGGTGGGATTCTCTGAGACTGGCAACACACAGATCTCTGAACAGGCAGCCATGGAAGCCACTGTCCTCAGAAGGAACTCACTATGTGTTTGTGGCCTCTCCTTGCCCCTCTACAGTCATGGACAGGGTGACCTGGATCATACCACATCAAACCTGGTGTGGCTCAGGACTTGTTTGATGGTATCAGCCATGAAGCTCAAGGCCTGAAAAGGAGTTCTTCAATCCAGGACCAGGAAGACACGGCTCACAGGAGTTCCAGATGTGAACTTGGGTCCTGGGGATCAGAGCAAAGACTGGTGGGACAGCTCTTCTAGCTGACTTTCCATCTCTATCGCCCATACCAGACAACTTTCTTTCCATGAGGCCACCACAGAGGCAAGGGTTCAAATCCCAGCTCAGGGGCAGTGGTGGCACATGCCTTTAATCCCAGCACTCGAGAGGCAGAGGCAGGCGGATCTCTGTGAGTTCGAGGCCAGCCTGGACTACAAGAGCTAGCTGCAGGACAGCCTCTAAAGCCACAGAGAAACCCTGTCTCAGAAACCACACACACAAAAAAAGCTCAAATCCCGGTTTAGTCACTTCTCTCAGTCATTGAGTTGGGGGGTGAGGAAGGCCTGAGAAGAGTCAGAGAAATAGGAGATAACAGAAAGGAATAACTGTGGGGGAGCTGCCTCAAGCCCCAAGGGTTCACTGGGTTGTATGCCCAATAAATTAAAGAAAAGACAAAGGACAGCTGAGCTGTGTTACTTGCCCCATCATGGGTTTGTGGCAGCTCTTCTAGAGGTGCTCTTCTTGGTGCTTCAAGTACAGAATGGAGCTGCTGTGAGGGTGGTGTCTGGGAAAGCATACACTATTTTAGGAGGTTGGGGAGGAAATCACCACAGAAGACAGGGTGAATGGGGGGACACTTGAAGTAACCAGCAGCCTGTGGTCAGAGCCAGGATCAGGGTAGAGCTGGGAGAATCTACTCCCACAGAGACATTGCAGCAGGCCTGGGGTGAGGGGCAAACTCCATGGTGGCACATACCTGTGATCCACACACTCCAGAAGCTGGAGTGGAAGATACTAAGTTCTACCCTGGCCACATAACAATATCCTCTTCTTCTTTTTCTTCTTCTTCTTTTTTTTTTTTTTTTTTTTTTTGCTTTGGAGCCTATCCTGGCACTCTCTCTGGAGACCAGGCTGGCCTCGAACTCACAGAGATCCACCTGCCTCTGCCTCCCGAGTGCTGGATTAAAGGTGTGTGCCACCAACACCCGGCACAATATCCTCTTCTAAAACAAACCAAAACCCAAGAGGCTGGCATGTGGCTGGGGTAAGAGTGTGTGTTGGTTTGAATGAGATGGCCCCCACAGGCTTATATATTAGCGTGTGTAGCCCCCAGTTGAACTGTTTATGAAGTATGAGGAGGTGTGATCTTGTTGGAGGAGGCGTGTCACTGGGAGGGGTTCTAGAGGTTTCAAAAGCCCACACCAGGCCTGGTGTCTTTCTCTCTGCCTGACTGTCTTCCAGTGAATCAGGATGTAGCTCTGAGCCCCATGCATCCCCGACATGCTCCCTGTCATGATGATAGACTACCCTCTGAAGCTGTATGCAAGCCTCCAATTAGATGCTTCCTTTTATAAGAGCTGCGTTGGTCGTCGTGGTGTCTCTTCATAGCAAAAGAACAGTGACTAAGATGGGTGGGGGGAAGGGGAGAAGGAAGGCAACGACAGAAGACATAGGGAAAGAACCATGCTGGGCAGCTCACACAGGCAAGCATACAGTGGGACTAAGAAGGTAGCTCGTGTGCTGAGGGTCACCCAGCAGGTGTGCAGTGGAGTTTGGCAAGGCAGGTAAATTGGCACGTGGTCTTAAGTTCTGAAGTCTGAGCTCTGCCACCTGTGCCCAGGCAGTGTCAAGAGAGAGCACCCAGCCTGGCCAGACTCCATACCACTTAGCTCAGTGGGAGCAGGCCATTGGGTTCCTCCTGGGCTCCATTTGGTCTTAGATAGAGAAGTTCAACAGGAAAATCTGGGGCATGAAAACAACCTGAAGGCGGTTGGAACACATCATGCCTCAATGCATGCAACAGAAAGCCATGCTTACATCCTCCAGTTCTGTGAGCTCTTCATCCCTCACAGTTGTATGTGGCTGGCCCCTCCTTGGCAAATGCTTTTTGTATCTGCTGAGCTGATCACTAGCTCTGGTGTTCCTACTTTGCCCTGCACCTACCCTATTTGCTCTCAGATGTTGGAGAGGTGATTTTCCTTCCTTAGATGCAGAAGATCTCCCGCTTGGCCAAGCCTAGGACTTGACAGTACTAGCATCTCCATCCTGGCCTGTTGGAGGCAAGCGATGACCAATCTTGTACCAGGCTCCTGTCCTCTCTCCTGCAAGCCCTCTGTGGGGCTCCCATTCCCTCACTGCTCCTCACTCCTATCCATGTCTGTCAATTCCTTTTATTTCTTTTTCCTTTCCGTCCCACTTTCCTCTCACCCCTCCTTTATTTCTTTTGACAGGGTCTCATGTATACAGCTCAGGCTGGCCTCCAGTGTAGCAGAGGATGGCTTTGAACTTCTGATCTTCTTGTCTTCATCTGTAAGTTGTGGGATTACCATGCTCCACGTAATGCAGAACTGGGGTTGCAACCTGGGACTTCCTGCATGCAAGGTGAGCACCCTACCAACTAAGCTGCATCCACAGCCCCTATTTAACTCTTCCTGTGCATACAGCAATAGGCCCTGGAGGCCGAGCAAGGTTTTGCAGTGAGCTGGCCTAGCAGGCTGTGTGGGGAACTGTAGATCTCAGGCTGATACCCAATCCTGTCCTTCCTGCTGCTCTGAGCCCCCTGACCTCTCTGTGTGGTTGTCTGCGTTCCTCAAACATCAGCCTCTACAGCAGAGCTCCCTCTGCCTATCCCCAACCCTCCTCCTGCTGCCTCCTTCAGCTCTCTGGAGCAGACCAACTGCCACAACAAAAGCCTTCAAATCATCCTGGACTGTCCTTCTCTGCTGACCATGTAACTGCACCAAAGATCCCCACAGGGTTCTAGAATCTGTGCACTTTCCCCCTCTACCTCCATCACCTGCTGGAGTCCCCAGGGTCTTTACCTTCAATAACAGCAGTGCCCCCTGTGTCCTCTCTGAGTTCACTCTGATCACTCTCCATGCAGCAGCCAAACAGCCTCTTGGGTCAACCCCTCGCTGAGGCCCACACTCCCCAGTCCACAGAGCTCCCCATGACCTTTCTCTTGATCCCCTCTTGCTCTTGTTCACCCGCCCTGAGCACACTGGCCATCATCCAAACCTCTACCCATCAGCCTTTGCACTGGCTCTACCTACATGATGGTCCTTTGGACTTTGTAGAGCAGCATCACATCACTGCTCAAAAGTATTCCTCTGGGTCCCTGTTTGCTTTCTCAGTAGTGTCTATCTCTGATGGGAGTGCATGTGCTTCTCCTCAGCTAGATTACAAAACCACAGGAGGAGGGATGCTATGCCAGGCCTGTACCAGGGCTAGGCCGAGGCCAGTACTTGCTGACTCTTAGTAGAGTTCAGACTTTTGCTGCCTTGTACAAAGGCAGGCCTTTCTGCCTCATCAACCATGTATTTACAGTTTATCCTACAGAAGTTACTAGACAGATGTGCATGGGTACATAAATCAAGACACTCACTGCAGGGTTGAGGGTGTAGCTCAGTTGGCAGTGAGTTTACCTAGAATGCATGAAATCCTGGGTGCAATCCCCGGCACTGAATTGAAAACTAGGCATGCTGCACATGCTCATGAGTCCGGTACTTGAGGAGTGGGAACCACAAGATAAGAAGTTCAAGGCCATTTTTGTCTACACAATGAATTATTTGCCAGCCTGGAGCTACATGAGACCCTACTTTTTTTTTTTTGAAAAAATTATTGTTTGTTATTTATTCATCTGTGATTTTTTTATTTTATTAGTTCTAGTTAGGGAACAAGCTTATTTCAAGTCCCTTCTCCCTCTCCCTCCCCTCGAGACCCTACTTTAAAAAAAAAAAAAAACTGATAGTAGGGTTGCTTGTTTGCATGGCAACCAGCAGTCAACTAGGTGTCCATGGGTAAGGGATTGATTCAACAGTCACAGCCAAAGGGTGCAACAGGAGATGAGCCCTATAGCACTGATATGTCACCGAGAAAAGGAAGGGAATGTGTGGTGGGGACACACATTTATCATAAAGGAGTCTTGGAGGGCAGGAACTCTGATAGCATCTGTAAATATATTTACTGATGGATGGACAAAATGCCAGAGAATCAAGCTTTGTTCCTTGGCTGGAAAAGAAAGAGGGACCAGAGAGGGCAGCACCCCATGATGGAGGCACAGCTAACATGGAAGCCCAGGTCTCCCTTCCCAGACTCTGGACTCATTGTGAAAGGCTTAGTCAAGCCCTTCAGCATATCGCTAGCCTGCCCCAGCCTTACTGTGTAGTTAAGGCTGGCCTTGATCTCACTATCCTTCTACCAAAACCTCCCAGGTGCTTGGAATCACAAATGTGCTATAGCTCACTCAGCTTCAGTCCAGGCCTTACTGTATAGTTAAGGCTGGCCTTGATCTCACTATCCTTCTACCAAAACCGCCCAGGTGCTTGGAATCACAAATGTGCTATAGCTCACTCAGCTTCAGTCCTGTCCTAGGTGCCATATCCACACTGTGTGCTGCTCAGAAAGAAGCTCTGGCTGCCTATCTGCAAATGAACCCCAGACCCCCAGAGCCCCCAGGGCCCTAGGAAACTCACCTATTGGCTGGAGAATATGGTCCCATTCTCTACATTTAGGCCTCCTCCACCCCCAAAACAGCCCTCCCTAGGCACCCTTAGTGAGGAGGTACAGGGAGCCTGGTGCCCACCGCAGGCCTGGTAGGACTGGCTTCCCTGTAATTAAGGCAGGAGGAGGCTGGGAGCTGGGATCCTGTCATCCAAGGAGGGGAGGAGGGGTGAGGCTGGGATCTGGGATCCTGTCATCCAAGGAGGGGAGGAGGGGTGAGGCTGGGAGCTGGGATCCTGTCATCCAAGGAGGGGAGGAAGGGTGAGGCTGGGATCTGAGATCCTGTTATCCAAGAAGGGGAGGAGGGGTGAAGGAACAGGAGGAGCCTCCTTGTGGCCAGGCTGACCACATCAGCAGCCACTGGCTTTCTGGGGGCAGCTAGGTGGCAGCTGGCAGCTGGGATGGAAGCTTCTAGTGTAGAAGCTTTTGTGCCACAGCATCGCCTTGGTCCAAGTCCATTCAGTACAGGACAGTACCATGGACTTCTAGCAGGGAAACCATCATCTGAGTCCTGTAGATGCCTACCTGTCCCCCATCCCTCTCCTCTAGATCCCTCTACCCCAACTCCACGGCCATTCCTCCAAAAAACGCACGTCACTGAGGCTCAGCTCCTAGCATTCAGCAGTGCTGAGGGGCAGATGGCTTCTCCTCTTTCGCAGGAGGTACTGCATGTGGGGGAGGTTAGGAAAGAGCTGTTCAAAGGATCACCCAGGCATCCCCTGGAAAGGAGGTCAACCTCTAAATAGATGCTTTCAGCTTCCTGTGGCCCTTGGGGAAAGCTCTGGTCCCCCTAGTTCTGTCCTTGTGCTCTCTCTCCTGTCCAACCCATCCAGATCCTAGTCACATTTCTCCTGGACCCAGATGAAGTTTTTCCTTCTGTGAGCCTATGGCCCTGGCCTGCAGTGCTTGAACTAGAGTGATGCTGAGCTAATGACAGTATCTTTGTCTTCCCACTCTCTGGCACTAAGGCTGTGGCCTCTCTGGGACACCGACCTGCCCAGGTGACACTCACAAGCTGTGGCCTGGACACATCTCTAAGCTTCATTGTACTTGTCTATGAAATGGGTTTCTGTGAGAAGAAACCCTTGGGAGGCTCACAGGAGCCAGTGTTGGTAAACACTCCAAATGGTACCACAGTGGGTGGGGGCTTAACAACTTGCCGACACATGATCACAGCTCCTCTTGTTGAAGTTATATACACATTCAGCCTAGCCCTGCCCATTATTCACACTGGCCAGAAAGGCCTTTCCAAGGGAACTGGGATCGAGTCACTAACCAGATGTCCAGTTTGATCCTCTCTGCCTCCCTCTCCAGCTCTCTCAACTCTTACCTATTCATTTTAGCCATCAGAACAAATTTGACAAATGTTCAATGTGCAGGCCTCTGTACCTGGCTAACTCCTATGTATCCTTTAGGCCCTGGCTGAGGGAGCCCCCCTTCTCTGTGCTCCTGAGGTACTACTGTCCTGCACACCCATTGCAGTAACTATCATACCTGGAAGCTGTTGCCCCTGCAGTGGACCAGACACTGCGTCTTGCTCTCTGCTGCAGACCCAGCACAGTGCAGTGTCTGGCAAGGACTGGATTTTCAAAAAATATTTAGTGACTGAATGGATGGATGAGTCAATTTTTGCATCCCACACTGCAGGAAATGTCTGAGAACAGATTTGAGTGGGAGGTTCCTGCAAGGCCTGGGAGAAGCCCCTGGTCTTTGGGGCGCTAGGTGGTGAAGAGCAGACACCCCCATCTCCTCCCACGAGTAGGTCAGCCTCCCCACACATTTGCACAGGCCCCTGGGGCCCCAGAGCCGGCTTCCAGATGTTAAACCCCATATCTGCCTTACCTCCTAGCTTTTCCATCTGCACTGCCGGACCAGATCCCTGCAGCCAGCATCGCGGGCAGCCAGGCCAGCCGTCCCCAGCGTCTTCCTATTTTAGACATCTCGCCGCCTCGGTCCCTTCTAATGTTTCCAGGCAGGCTGCAGGGGGAGGAAAAAGAGGTTACTGCTACTTTAAATGTACTGTATGAAGGCGAGGGCTGGAAAGGGGCCTGCTTGCAGGAATACCCAGTCATCTAGTTGGAGAAGCCGCCAGATGGAATACAAAAGGAGAAGCTCAGGCGCTCATGGAGACGGCCTCGGTTCATAAATCAGGTGGGGCCGCGGCCCAGGGGCCCACACACCATGGAGCCCGACTCCCTCCTGGACCCAGGCGACTCCTACGGTAGGTGAGCGGAGCCAGCTAAGTGGCTAAGTGGCAGAGTTTGGTATTTGAGCCCACTGCTCCAGCAGACTTTGCTTAGCTTTAGGAGTCAGAGTTGAAGGGGTCGGGGGAGGCAGGCATCTGGGTGCCATCTGGCCTCCGGGATCAGGACAGGCATGGGTTTCCTGGATCATGGGTCAGGGGGCTGAAGGGTCCCCTTAGACCTGGCATTGGCATGGTCCTGTAACAGGATAGTTTCTTGGCTGCTTGAACTTTGCTCTTGTCCAGGAAGGAAAGTAAGTTTACAGACCCCTGCTCCTCGGTCTCACTCACGGTCCCCCAGGTCTGCCTGCTGCTGTGGCAAATTCAATTAGTGAGGTCTGTAGAGAAACAGAAATGAGCAGGCAACTGAATGTACCTTGTAATTAAAGGCCAGGGCTGAGCTGAAAGCTGCCAGCTCCCCACTCTGGTACATAAGGCCCCAGGCTGCTCTAGCTGGGAAGCTGCCCTGCTCAGCTCCCCGGTGGCCACTGAGAGCCCTGAGCAGAGCTGGAGAAAAGTTGCTGGGGTCGGAGTGGTTCCCCCAGGGAGGTTTCATCAAGCTTGGTGCCCCCCACCCCCCCACCCCCAGGGACGCAGGTACCCAAGCTTACTGCCTAGTTGGCTGTCCAGACTGCTGCCCATTTGGTCAGGATGCTGGCACACAGTGGCTGTCTCCCAGCAACAGAGAGCAGGAGGGCGGGAGTATAGTTGAGGGGAAGAGGGAGGCCAGGTGGAGGGATTTAGTGGGGAGACAGGGCCGGGCCGTTAGCCTCAGATGGGGAGGCCTTCTGTGACTAATGGCTTAGGTGAATCTTCTCAGGCTGTGGCCCTCTGGAGACCTCTTCTCCTTCCAGACTCCCTTGTCTGGCCACCTGGCCCAGAGTCAAGGCTAAATTCTGTTCTTCCTGCAGCAGCCCAGCTCTGTCCATGTTTCAAGCTGCAGCCCTCAGGCAAGCTGGGCCAGGCCCTACCATGGAGGGACCTGGCATCTTCAGACAGTCAGGCGACCTGTGGGTCACTTAATCCAAGTAACCATCAGTCCTCGGTGGGTGGGGGAGGGGAGGGGAATACAGCTTCTGTTCTGGAAGAGGTTTTAGTCTGGAACGGAGGCCATCCATGATCCCAAGACCTGCTTTAGGGGGATGTATTCCTGATGGGGAGCCTGGAGATACACAGTCTGGGCTGTGAGATAGGCTTGCTGCTTCTAGAATTGTCTACCTCAAATGTGGTCTGGCCTGGGCATAACTCATAAAGGCTCCTTCATACTGCCCAAGGAAAACACAGACCCAATCCAACCTGGGGAATATGGAGTGGTGGCCTGGATCAATGTGGCCAAGCAAAGTTCTGGTGGTACAGGGGCTCTTCCCCATTCAGGGACATCTCAGGAGCCCACAACCCTCCTCTCAGTCCCCTGGGTTTGCCAACAGCAGCCACTGGGCAGGAGGAGGCTGGAAACAGAGACAGCTTCCACCTCATTGGTGTGCTACCTGCCCCTTGTCTTAGCCTATTGATCTTCTGGATTCTGCTAGGGCAGAGTATATGTGTTTTGTACCTGGGAATGAGGCACAGTTACAGAGGAGGCTCCAGGGAAGGACAGGAAGGGCAGAGGAGGAGCCCCTGTAAGCAAACTCTCTGGCTTTCGTCCCAGAGATGAGCAGGCCCTGGCCTCCCACCAAGCCAGCCTCAGAGGTCTACAGATGAAACCCATCCTGGGCCAGGGCAAAAAACAAAGCCTGTCTCCAGCCCTCGTTCTATGTTTGCCCATTCATTTGCTTGCTCAACCACTACTCTCAGGTCTTGAGCTGGGCTCTGGGGGCCAAGAAACCAAGCTTGCCTCTGCCTGTATGAGGTTCCCAGATTAGTCCATGAGTGGGGACTACTCCCAGGAAGGAGCCCAGGTGTTATGGAACCCCTTATCCTGGTATCTAGGAAGGCTTTCCAAAAGAGGTGATGTCACTTCATTGCTAGCCTCTGTCAGTGTGGATGGCCACCACACACCGTTGTGGGTTGGCCAGTCTTCACTGTCCCAGAAGCTAGAAGTATAAGACTGTTTCCGGGTGACCTGGTTTCTGCTAAGGGCTCTGCTCCCAGCTTGTGGACGGTTCCCTTCTGTTGAGTCGTCACATGGTCTTGCCTCAGTCTGTGCACACGGAGAGAAAAGACAAGTAAGTGCTTTGGTTTTGCTGGATCAGGAAGCCACCTCATTTAACCTTGGTTTCTTCTGTGAGGCCCCATCACCATGTCCGGCCATGGGAGTGTGGGCAGGTCTCTCAGATCCTCCATAACTCCCTCCTTGAACCCTTCCTTCTGGCTCTGGGACAGCCACACCTGTGGCTTCCTCCCATTTCTCCATCCTTCTTTCCTACTCTCCACATGACCTGCTTTCAGGTCTGAGCCACACAACTGTTCTTCCTTCTCTCTACCCCACTATGCTGTCCTGTGGGGCATTCTTCCACTTTCTCTTCACCAATCTAACATCTGTTTCTTGTCCTAGTTGCTGAAAGTTGTCTTTTCCTGAGAAGCCTTCTTTCTCTAGAACATGTTCCCCCATTTCACTGAATTAGACCTCACTGCCTTGGTGTCTCTTGTTCAGTCTGTTCTGGTTTGTGGATTTCATTGGTATGGGATTAACTGCACAGCCCCCTCTAATTTCTAAGATCTCTGAATCCCCAGAGCACATCTCTCTTCTTGGCATTAGTGGGTACCCAGATAGACTGGTGAGCAGGCAAGGAGCTGAATGAATGTAGTTCATCCAGGCAAAGAGGTCAATGAAGGCATTCCAGGCAGACATAACAAGGTGTAAAGGCCTGGGGGCCGGAGACACTGGAAGACTCTCAGCAAGCTGAGCTCCTTGAAAGGTCCTGGGAACCTGATGGGGACAAAGCTGGATGTATCCAAGCTGGGTGGAACTCCTCCCTTCTTCAAGCTGGGCAAGACAGCCCCCCACCCTCCGCCAGGGCCAGGGGTGGACATACTGAGCTTGGCTTCCATTCACAGGGGTTCAGGGACTTGGCCACAGGGCAGTGTCACAGCCAATCACACTTATGTGCAAAAGGTAGCAGCAGAGGCTCAGAAGGGCATGGTGGCACATACCTTCAGTCCCAGCTCTTGGGAGGCAGAAGCAGGTGGATCTCCATGAGTTCGAGGTCAGCCTGGTATAGAGTGAATTCCAGGGCAGCCAGTCTCAAACAAACAAACAAAAAACAAACAAATGAATATAAAGTTTGGAGAGTGTAACACAATAAATAAATGACCCAGAGACAGAGATTGAGGTTCAACCTGAAGATCAGGAAGCAAAGCAGAGGCCACTAGCCCTTACCACTACCTCAGGCTGAATGGGCTGATCCTGCTGTCTCTCCTCATAGTGGCTGGAGAATGAACACCTTATACTTGTTCCTTGCTTCCGTCTTATATACCTCTCATGAATCTTGGGGTTAAGGGTGTGAGCTACAATTCTCTTTTAGACTGATTCACTCTGGTGTAGATCTGGGTGGCCTTGGCCTCACAGAGATCCGTCTATCTCTTAATCCTGAGTCCTAGGACTAAAGGTGTATCCCACCACCTCCTAGCTTCTGGCTGCTGGGATTAAAGGTGTGTGCCTGGCTTCTATGGATTGTGGCTGACTTTGCTTTCTGAATCCTCAGGCAAACTTTAATAGATCATAAATAATATATCACTACATGAGAGTCTCCTCCATCAAGGCCAAAGAGGGCTGGGGGGTCAGAGCAGACTGAAAAGCAGGGTCTTACAGCTAATCAGAGGCAGGGTGCTCTCGGCTCCCATTGTGCCTTTGCTAACCTGACTCCTATCTGAGACCGTAAGACGTCCAGGGCAGAGCCTGTCTTGCTTGCATTGTATTGTAATATCATGTTGGCAGCACCTGGCCCTGAGGACATGTCTACATGTCATTGGATAGATGAATGGATCAACAGCAGTAGCTGGACTCCTTGATAATTCACTCTGCTGTCCCCAGACCTCCTACCCTTCTCTGGGCTGCTGTGTAGGTAACTGTCACTTGTGGATCCTGTGGTTATTGGTCTCCATGATAGAATATTCCAGTTCTAACCATCATTCTAGACCCAAATCAGCCCTCAGCACCTCTGGGTTGCTGGGCAGCCTGGAGCCAGTCCCTGCTGCTGGCTCAGCTTCCGTTTCCTCAGCAGAGAAAAGGGCTAAGGCCAGCTTCTGGTGAGGGTGGTGGTCTATGATTCATGGAGGTGACTCCCAGGAAACACTGATTGTTCTGTGACTCCTTGGGGTGGGACAGAGGTTTAGAACCCTGTTCCTCTGAGCACCTTGGCATTGGGAGATCTACGGTAAGGATGCAGCCATGCTTCTGCTGTATTCTGAGTGAATATGGTATTATTTCAGGTGCAGCAATCACAACTTATTCCCCTCAGTACTGGAGATTGAACCTAGGACCTCAAACGTGCCAGAAAAGGACTCAACCACTGACCTACACCTCTAGCCACAGACCCTCTTTTTTTTTAAATTTTGAGACAGGGTCTTATTATATAGTCTTGGAACTAAGCTATAAAGGCCAGGCCAACCTAAAACTCACAGAGATCCACCTGCCTCTGCCTTCCAAATGCTAGGATTAAAGACGTGCGCCACCACACCACAGCTTCTTTTTGTTTTTTATTTTGAAACAGGGTCTCTGTAAATTAGTTATCCAGGCTAGCATTGAATTCATTCAGTAGCTCAGGCAGGACTCGAACTTGGCAACTCTACTGCCTCTGCTTCCTGGGCAACTGGAACTGTGCCACGAGGGTCAGATAATGACACTATTTTGGGGGTATTTGTTCTGAGTCAGGTTCCAGGAAGTGTCTCTGCTGTACATGGTCCACTTGAGTACTTGTAAGCGGCCTGCAGGTGCTGTTAGCCTATTCTCTGGAGGAGGAAACCGAGGCTCAAGGGAGTTGAGAGTGCACGGTAAGAGCGGAGAGCAAACCCAGGCTGCCAGATTGCAGAGTCTGGGA